TTGGAACTTAGCTTCCTCGTTGGAGGAGAATTCACTAGCTTATCCGGTATGCTTTGACCGCTTGGGTTACGTAGAGCTTCAAAGTCAAATAAGGTTCTGTTTGCTTTTTATGTACATTCACCCTTACAGATTTTCTCAAAAGCCATATCTGCTGAGTTCCATAATTAGAACGTAAATCCAATTTCAAATGGATTTAATGGATTTTCTTCTTTTAATACAACATATTTATATCAATTCAAACTTTATTTTTAGTAGATATCTGTATTTTTAAATAGTGTTTATTTTATCTATCGACCTGTGAACTCGAGAATACTTGATAAGTGGAATGGGAAGATCGAATTCTGCCGGAGGGCACATTTACTTACACATAAGCATTATCGTGATTTTCTACGTGTGTGCGTATGTGTGTGCGTGTGTGTGTCCGCGTGTGTTTATATGTATGCGTGTGTGTTCGAGTGTGCGCGTTTGAATGCGGGTATGACCGAATGTGTGCGTGTGTTTGTGTTTGCACGCAAGTGTGTGAGTATATGTATGTACGCGTGTGTGTGTGCGTGTGTTTGCATGCGTGTGTGTATGTGTGCGCGCGCCTGTATATGAGTGTGTATGTGTGTGTGTGTGTGCGTGTGTGTATTCGCGTGTCTGTATACGCGTGTATGTGTGTGTGTGTCTGCGAATGTGTGTGTGTGCGCGTGTGTATGTGTCTGCGTGTGTGGACGTGTGTACGCGTATGTGTGTGTGTCTGTGTTTGTGTGTGGATACGTGTGTGTGTACGTCTGTGCGTGTCTAAATGTTTGCGTATGAACGTGTTTGTTTGTGTGTGTGTGTGTGTGTGTGTGTGTGTGTGTGTGTGTGTACAGAGAAAACAGGATGTTCTTTGTGAAATAAAATATGAAAAACACGTTGTTTGACTCCGGCACTACCTTGTTAGCGACATTTATTTTATTTTGACGGAGGGAGGCACTAACCTTTGCAGAAGAGATTCTTCTTTTGCTATTTCTCTGCGCATGTCACTGCTTCTCTCTGCAAGTCTGCCTGCATCGCTGGCACAGATCTGCGCAGTTACTTGTAGCTTTCTGCTTCGCGACAAGTACTACTTAATAGGAACACGATTGTCAGTTGTACATAACTGGCTGAACCGGGCGTCGGCGATGATGACACAATACTTAGTCAGTTCGCCTTACACACCAGTTCGTAAGTGTTCGATTTCATTCTCCTTTAGCGTGACCTTGTGCCAACTTGGGCTAAAGGAGTGTTTACCTTCCTGGAGAAAGGAGAAAACATTTTTCTTTAGTAGGACTTCACGATCTAGGCCAGTTGATATTAATTTCCCTGTTTAAAAAAAGAAAAAAAAAACAGCGCTATAAACTGAAACATGTGCACACACTAAAAATAACGTTTAGAGAAACAAATTAAAATATGCCGGATTAATAAATGAAAAATCCATTCCTTAAAAAGAAATATATTTCTTACTTCAAACTTTATTATAGTGGATACTCATATTTGAAAGAGACGCCCCATTTTTATTGATTAAACAGATTATAATAAATCTGTCGGCCTGCGCATTTAAGAAATCTTAGTAAGGCCCCTGCTCCTTTCTCTAAAGGAAAAACCTTCGTTTGATCAGGCGTGCTTCACCACTCGGCCACGAAGAACGTCACACCAGGCGAGGCTATATCTTTTCATACATATAGCAATATTTACGGTTTTTTGGGGGTTTTTTTTTTTTTTTTTAGATAGGCTTGAGATTTGTTAATAACTTGAAACTTCGGATAGACGTGTCATCTCTCCTAGAATTCTGAACGCCACGAATTATATTAAAGTTGATTTAACAGACTCGCATGCACGTAAAACATGACTGACCAATGAAAATCAAACAACACAAAAATAAAAAGACCAGAATATTTTTTTCCGTGTCTCATTCTCTGATGAAGCTATAATAAAAGGGAAACATGTTAAATTGATAAACGTTTCTTATTTGTTCTTTATCTTATCATTCTGTCAGAATCTGATTCATATTTGATCTCAACACGCACACACACACACACATGTACATACAGTGCGATGCATAAATTGTCGTCTAAATTACGCGAAAAGGAAAATAATACTGACATCTCATTTTAACAGAGATATTTACCAAAATTGCACACTTGAAATACTAAAGAGTAAATTTATTCAATAAAATCGCCATTGGCTCCAACCACGGCCTCCAGACGACTTCAGAATCTCTTGCAATTCTTCTGAACGGTCTCCTTGTTTAAGTTGGTGAATGCTGCTATAATTCTTGCTTTCAGTTCATCTTTGATGTTACAGCAGTTTTGTTAGTCCCTGCCCTAACCCTGCTCAACTGTGCCCTACACATAATAATCAAGGGGGTTGCAGTCTAGAGAGTTAGGTGGCCAGATGTAAGGGGTTATATGATCGCAGTAATTGTTTGACAGGCATGACTGGATTTTCCTGCTTGTTTGGCATGGTGCAGAGTCCTGTTGCCAGACATAAGGGTCTTCCAGCAGTGAAACTCCTGACCAACGACAGCACTACTTCCTCAAGGTACTTGATGTAGTATCCGTGTTAAATCTAATGTCCTCACCAACAAATTCGCGAGTTCTTTTCTTATCAGGACAATCAGAATAAGTTTTCCGAGCTGCTGTACCTTCGTAATCATCATTAGACTCATCCTATGCACTCACCTTAGATTGACATCCAAACACACTGTAATGTTCGTATTGAAGCTTCCGGTGTGAATGTCAAGCAGTAGAGCATTCTCCTTCCAAATTTGAGTGTATTGCGTCATGGTGCTCTTTTTCTCACAGACGGTGCCCAACTGACCCTACTATACTGTGCTCTAAAAAAAAAACACGCATGCGCGAAATTAAAAATATAACATGGCGACAATTTACCCATCGCTCCCTCTCTATATATTCAACCCATGATATCTGTCTATGTTTCTAAGATGAGATATTGTAACTGTTTACATTGTTCGAACTGTTGTCCTCATCTTTATTACCCCCAAGGACACATGGCCCAGTGAATAAAAGCGTTGGTTGAGTGATCCCAAAGTTGTGAGTTCAATACCAGACCACTGTAGAGTGAACAACAACTTGGGGACTTGAATTACTCAGGGAAATTAACTGGAACTGAGATATAAAAAAAGGCATGGCACGTGGAATCCCCGTGGACTAAATAAAAGGGTTCGGTTCGAAATTCAAACTAATATCACCTAAAGAAGGCCGGAGAGTACAACGGTCGAAACGTCGTGAATATGGCGAAGAAGGCTACCAACGTCCGAAGGGTCGGGATTATGGTAATAAAGATAGGAACAAGAGTCTGAACAATGTAAATAGTGTAAATATTCAAGCAACGGTTTTTTATTGATATATATTATACTAGCAGCCCTACCCAGCTGGTCGATCAAAAAAAGCGTTTAATTAGAATGGAACAAAAACAGCATCATGTTTAGATGTAACAGAGTCTATTTTCTTCGATTAATTTGAAGCACTTCCATTAAAAAAACATTTTGAATTAATGCAGTTACTGATATAACAGGAGTAGTCTGTATTTATTCAATCGTAGCCGAGGACATGAAGGGGTAAAACAGGCAACAGGATGACACACTTCAGATAAAAATTATTTTGGGGTTTTTGAAATTCAATTTGTCAGTGTGCTACCAGGGATGTAAAAGAAGATATATTTATAAAGCAAATGTTAAGTTTGATGAAAATTGGTCGAAAGATCAACGAAAAATAAGAAAGAATATATATATATGCTGTACCTTCGTAATATATATATATATATATATATATAAAAGAAATATGTTGTAGTGGTTCCAACGAGAGTAAAGTATGTATATTAAAAAGAAGAGAGGTGCCGCAAACGTTTTTGGTTTATTTAATGAAGAGTTCTGCGCGAAGGGTCATAAAACAATTAAGGTTTGTCCAGCGAACCTAATTGTTTTATATATATATATATATATATATATATATATATATATATATATATATATATTAAAACAATTAAGGTTAAGGGGCTTAATGATCAAGTAACATTCATTGAACGTCAAAAGAACCCTTTATCTAATTCACTAATGTAGATTTTATTATTATTATTATTATTATTATTATTATTATTATTATTATTTCATTGAAAGACCGGCAGGTCGTGGTGTGTTGTTAAATTTCATTAGATGAAGTTGCCGTTACATAGACAAAGTTCTCCTTATCTGTAATTTTTCTGTATGTCTCTTAAGCTAATTCTTTCAATGTGTTGTTTTGTTCCATTTTTATAATTCCAAGTGATTTATTATTCGTGTTTTCAATTTCCATTTTTTTTTCTATTTCAATTTCCAGGTCTTTTATTATTATTATTATTATTATTATTATTATTATTATTATTATTATTATATTATAATATATTATATAATAGTATATTATATATATATATATATATATATATATATATATTATATAATATTATATATTATATAATATTATATATATTACATAATATATATTATATAATATTATATTATAATAATTATTATTATTATTATTATATTTATTCTTTTCTTCTGTGTTTTCATTGATAAATCATGTTTTTGCTTTTTGTTTCCTTTTTTTGTTGTTATGAAACATTATATAAATACACACACACACTCACACACACATATATATATAGGGAGAGAGAGACAGATTTTATTGAAAACTTTAACAAATTGAAAAAAAGGATTTTGTGTCATGTGTCTCGTCGTTTAGGATTTCATTGAACTAAAGTGATGTTTACGTTGATACGACTACGCATGCTCACGAAGGAGTGGCGCGAATAGAATTAATGTGCATGCGTAGTTGTATCAACATAGACATCACTTTTTTCAGTTTGTTAAAGTTTTCAGTAAAATTCCTCTTGATATATAAAAATTACATATCGATTTCCCATATATATATATATATATATATATATATATATATATATATAATATATATATATAACAAACATAACAGGAAAACCTATATATCTAATAGATAGATAGATAGATAGATAGATAGATAGATAGATAGATAGACCTATTGAGCCAGAAAAAACTACCCAGGTTTCACCTAAGCGAATCCTCCGGGAAACCTGGGTAAGTTTGTCTGGCTCACTAGGTTTATCTACGGTTGTATTGAGCTCTTTGTTAGTTACTTAGTTGTTTACTTGTGTCGGGCTTTTTTCTTTAGGCTTTGAACCTGTATCTGTGTGATTTTTTTTCGACAGACGTTCATGTTTCTAGCTCTGTCTATTTTTAATTTTTTTTTCCTTCGAGATTGATTTGATTATTGGCAAATCAAAAATTCGAAGGTTTTTCGAAACGAGTATAGTTACCTATATATATATACATATATATATAGGAAAACCTATCTTAGCCGACGCATTTTGTCATTTGAGGGACTTTATCAAGATATATGCACTTGCCTTGTTAAATTCCCTCAGTGGATGTTTTCCTGTTGTCTTTATTCATATTGTCCTTTTACAGATATATCCTATTTGAAGTTTTCACACACACACACACACACACACACATATATATATATATATATATATGAAGAAATATATTCTTATGATGTGCTATATTTATGGGATAAAGTGCTCAATATCGGAGATAGAGCGTGTGTAAATATAAAAGTGAACATAGCAGTGAACACTGTTTCATGCTTCTTGCAATCATCAGGCCTGATGATTGAGTCTAGCATGAAACAGACTCTCGCCTCTAAGTGTTGACTTGTATTTTCACTTAGTAGAGAAGAAAACTGGATCAGGAGGTCACAACAGCAAAAGTGATCGTTATTTCAAATTAGAGCTAAATAGATCAATTAGAAAAGATCCAACTCAATCATCAGACGTTTGGCACGTGAGAGAGGAGTTTCAGCTATGACAGTCCAAGGAGCAGTGCAAAAAGACTTGAAAATGAAATCGTACGTGAAACCTTTGAGGCAACATCTTACTCCAGGACAGAAAGTTAGAAGGTTAGAGAGGCGAATTTTGAATAACTTGAAAATGATTCTGAAATAATATATATATATATATATATATATATATATATATATAATATATTCATCATTTCAATCCTTCATATATATATATATATATATATATATATATATATATATATATATATATATATATATATAAACCATTTATATCTCTAACCACTCTATCCACGATACTTTATATATGTGGCAAATTATTAATTAATGATGAACATGTCATATTCGTTTATGATCGATTTCATCATGATACTTATGTTAAACATGGGGAGTAATTATACATTTTTATCTGTTTAAAGTAGAGTCCAGTAGTTTTATAAGAAGCTCGTAGAATTCCAATAAGATATCTTTAATCATTTCTAAAATACAGTAGTTCCAAGCTTAATCTAACAGCTTTTACACGATTTGGACAATTTTGCTGTTACATCTGGTATATATATATATGTGGATGTGGATGTGTGTGTGTTCGGTACTGACTGCGACAACAGATGATATTTCAGAATAATATGCCGCTTTACATGATGTCTGTGCGTTTGAAATTAAAATAAGCTTCAAATTGTTGGTTCCTCTTTTGGCTTGAAAGTGACGAAATAAATTTTCAGTTGAGGCTAATTTACAAGCCTTGCATTGTTCCCTATCATTTCTGAGAAAGTGTAAGTCTTTCATCTTGGACCTACGCCTGCTGTGCAACATTTACAGGGAAAATAAACAAGGAATTCTCTCAACATGCAACAAGGAATTGCCGTTCAAACAAAGCTAAGGAATAAATGTCAACTCCTGTTCTTCCTATGTGATGTTTTATTAAAATCACATTACTCAATACTTTGCAGACAGTTCTTTGCCTGATAATGACAGCGTTTGAATTTTGCTTCTTTGTGAATTCCACCCGAATGGGCGCCGTAAGTTATTACACTTTGTGTCTTTATTGTCTTCTGATACGACTTTCACATTTAACTGAAGCATTTTCATCATTTGTAAGGAAGCTATAAACCCTGCTGCTGCTGGTTGTGATAGATAGATAGATAGATAGATAGATAGATAGATAGATAGATAGATAGATAGATATCAGAAGTGAGAGTGTGAGATAGATAGATAGATAGATAGATAGATAGATAGATAGATAGATAGATAGATAGATAGATAGAAACACACTGTGATAAATAATACGAACTAAGATAGATAGATAGATAGAAATACACTGTGGTAGATAATACGAACTAAGATAGATAGATAGATAGATAGATAGATAGATAGATATGAACACATTACGATAGATCTAGTTTGCTTGTTACACTAAATCTATCACATCGACCGCAGTCGAAATCGTAGAGTCACTGGGAATTCTACGATCTTTCCGATGGCTGCATATGTACTTCTCAGGAAGTACATAGTTTGGAATTCAGATTTGCACTTCTCGTAAACTGGCAGGCAACCAAAGCAAGAGTGACCAGTGTAGCCTGATATTTAACCTATAGTTGAAAGAAGAGATGAATTCGTACATTTCCCAAGGGTATTTCTCACGTGTATTTCCTCTCACCTTTGTTTTATATGCCAGTTAGATTCAGAAAAAAAAGTCATTTAATGATTTTTTTTTAAATAGAAATGTTGCGAGTGTATAAGCTTGGTACCTCCTTGGTACCTCGACTGCATTAATTTAAGCGTTACTGCAAGACTGGGGAACTCTCTTTCATCTTCTTGCTTCCCTGCCAACAACGATCTTCAAAAATGCAACATCAATCGTCATCTTCTGTCTTCCAGAACTCTGGTCTTTTATTGTCGTTTCTCCTCCCTAACGTTTACTCATATCCTTTTACTCCTTGACAAAATTCAGAGACGGGTATGCAATGTGATTAGTCCTGATCTGGCATCTCGTCCACAGTCACTTTCTCACAGGCGTGCCGTCGCTTCCCTCTGTCTTTTCTACAAATACTTTCACGGTAACTGCTCCGACAAGCTACTTTAACTAGTTCCCAAATTGCATGAATTTAAACGTGCTACTAGGTTGGCAACTTAGTCCCACCCCTTCACTGTCGAAATGGTTAAATGTAGACATCTCTTCTACTCCAACAGCTTCATGTCTCACACTTCCCGTCTGTGGAACTCCCTTCCTCTTATTTGCTTCCGTGATAGCTATAATCTGAAAATATTCAAATGCAATGTCAATCGACATCTCCAGATCCCTTGATCTATTCCCCGTCCTTCTCTTCATCATTTCATCTCTCACACCTCTTTACTCTTGCTCCCATTTTCTGTAACCTCCATGCGTGATAGTGGCACTCCCGACTTGCTTAGGGTGAAATGATTTAAAAAAAAAAAACTTTTGTTGATTCCCTCTTACGAACCCTTGTTTTATATATTCTTCTTCTTTTATATTTTCAGGTAAGTCCATGGTTTTCCTCTTGTCATTTTTTACTGCCAATTGCAAGACAACACATGAGACGCATCCCTCTATCTAAAGGTAAACCTATTCATTTTTCTTTGTGAAAGCTCGCACCTGACGGAGAGTAATGGTTAACAAGCTAGCCTTGCATACTATTGTCAATATACTAAATTCGATGCTCACTGGGTTGCCCACAATATGAAACCACTTCCCGATTAAGCTACGTTTAGTAAATGAATAAGGTTGCCTACGATAGTGTTATGTTTAACAAGCTCGTCTACTTAAATCGCTGGTGGATCGAATTAGTATTGCTGCTCTATTTTTATTTTGGCCTTTATTCAAATTAAGTTTTCATTGATTGATTTGATTTTTAAGTTTTATCAATCCTTTGTGGGTTATTTGAGGCCTAAACATATTTTCTTTTCTTAGACTATCAATGATTATTCCAAAAATAAGTCCTAGTATTTAACCCATAGGTAGGGGGCGGAAATGGTTAAATAAAGAGAATCCGCACGAGAGATTACAAAACTCATATAACTACAACTAATAATCTGTTCGATCGTCGCAGTTCCTTCAATTATTTTCGTCAAAATAAAACAAGCTTACAATATAGACCTAATATTAGTAATTCAGCATTTCACTAATTCTACAAAAGCGCAAGAAATATGATGCCTAATGTGGTTCGAACGTACGAACAATAGTGGAATTGTTACTAGATGGCGAATTTTGCAACCCGAATAGTTACGTGTTCTTTTTTTTATTTTTTTGTTTTTTGTTTCTTTTTTTTTATCACTTTTCGAGATGTGTTCACTGTCCAACGTCACGTCAGCTGAACTGTCAGCTCACTTACACAATATCAGATCGTTATCTCTCTGTCTCTTGGTAGTTCTTAAAGGGACAGCATAACTACTTTCATTATTATTATCATTATTATTATTATTATTATCATTATTATTATTATTATTATTATTATTATTATTATGCTTCTTCCTCGGTTCACACAGCCGTTACGCCTTACCAATGCCTCGCATATAATGGAGTATTCCGTTTTGAACGCGTGGAAAGACTGAAAATATATATCAGAGACGCTTGTTGGGTTTAGTGAGAGAAAGAAAGAAAGAAAGAAAGAAAGAAAGAAAGAAAGAAAGAAAGAAAGAAAGAAAGAAAGAAAGAAGTGTTTAACGTATCCTGCCAATACCTCATAAATAAAGGACTATTCCGTTTTGATCACGTGGGAAGACGTAAAAGACATTACTTGATTTCAGAGAAAGAAAGAAAGAAAGAAAGAAAGAAAGAAGTGTTTGCAGTCTGTTTCACTGAAATAGAAAAAGTTGTCAATTTCAGATCTTTTTATTTGTACCCCCTTACATCTTAAAATAATAACCAGCATTCATATTTATGACTGTTAAAGTTGTTAAGTTCAAATATTAACTGAACAATTAAGATTCATCGGAATATTGAAATAGGTAAACTGTGGAATTTTCACGATATTTCTAATTATTATTATTATCATTATCATTTTCTTTGATTTCTGGCGTTTACACATTTCTTTCCGGGTCCCGCCAGAGACCTAAGGTTAGAAATGGCGTCATGACACTTTCCACTGACAAAAAAAAAAAAAAAAAAAAAATTTAAATTACATAGATAAAGCCCTTCGTAAGGTGTGGGCTGTACTTGTCAGAACAATTTTCTGTATCTCCTTGAGGCATGGACCTCCAGGAATCACTTCAATTAGTCTACTGCAATCTTTTCCAACCAGTCCTAGGGCTCCAACTACAACAGATTATTATTATTATTATTATTATTATTATTATCATCATCATCATCATCATTTCCAGTTTTCGTGATTTACTATTTGATACAATTATTTAGCAAGTCATTTACTTTAGACCTGAGGTAAAGGAAAGTGACTTCACCAAATGTTATTGCGCGTCTGGCATTTGAAAATATTTTCTAAGTATATTAGCGGTGTTAATGAGCCTCACCATTTGTATCAGGGATTTAAAAAATATATTGCTTTAAACGATCATGGCTCTCCTTACATTCCTTCTCCTCATTATGTGTGAATTGACCTGTCTATATTTCTCACTATTTACATTATTTGGAATTGATCTTTGTCTATATTTCAACGGAGATGATCTGACACTATTTACATTATTTGGACTATTGTCCTCATCTTTGTCCCATATCTATTACTTTGTTGTACGCCAATTCTTCATTTGGAATGTCGAACAACGTTTTTTTTTTTTCGCTCGCTGGGGTACACTGTTCTAGTTCACATGCCATGTCTAAAGGATGTTAGTTATCGTTATCTCCGGTTAATTCCTTCTTCCCCCACAGTATCTGGGTTTATTTCGACATGAATGAAGAAGTATTACGTAAATTATTTATGGCAAAAAGATGAGGACAGTCTGAATGATGCAAATAATGTGAATTGACGTATTAAGAATGATAGAAGATAGATTTCTCCTCGCCTTCTCGATAAGTTTGATTTCGAAGTAGTCTTACTTATAAAGACTGAGTGCCACTCAAGGTTAGTGAGTCTAATCAAGCTTATTACGAGGGTGGGCTGAGAATTTCATAGGCTGTCTATGATGGAGTGAGGCTGAAGCCGTGAAATTTTGCATTCATTTCAGCTGCTTTTATTACTAACTGCATTGGTTCTTTCCAGGTAAACTGATATCTGACCGTTCAAGGAAGACTTCAAAAGTAATTAATAGCGACTTCTCTTGAAAATGGACAAAGTTTGGCATCTTGGTGGCATCAAGTACCGGCAAAAAAAAGGGTTTAGCCTCCAAAAACATTCATGCTGACAGGGTTTCTAAATTAGGGGATGATGGTTCTGCTTTATCAATGAAAGGAATGTGAAGAGCGCAAGGTGGATGTTTAAAAGTAAACCTCATTTAATCACTTTTTAGTCAACCCCCGTATTCAGTCCCTAGCTGAGAGTTTGGAAAAAAAGATGGATCCATGCCTTTTACAGGAGCAGCAGTGCAACAAACTAAAACGGATATGCATAGATTTCCTGCGATTTTCTTGATGCGTATATCATTCCAAGTGCTCCTATTATTATTGGAATGACGGTTGTGTTCGAATTCCACATTCTTGCAGTTTCTTTATTATTCTTATAATTGTTGTTGTTGTTGTTGTATTCTTCGTCATAACCAACTTCTCACGGCTTTTTAGAATTGTAATTTTTTTATATAAAATAAATGCAGGCCAGTGTTTAGGACGAAAAGATGCTTCTCATGGCCTCTGATCTTAATTGATTAGAAGTGTTAACAGTTTTCTCTTGCTGAATTAAGAGGATTGTATGTAACAAATATCCCGTTCAGTCCCACAGATTTGCATATCATTTGCCTGACCTCCAACCAGTTGGTCATGTCCTCTAAAGGTGTGTACTAAACCCGACCCGTCCCAGACCGAATATCAAATAGGGATAAACTGTCTGGGATTTTCTTAATGTGTGCATCAATACTTGTTTTAATCATTCCTAGTGTTCATATTATTATTGCAACTGCGGTTCAAATTCCAAATTATTGCAATATTTTTTTTTATTGTTACTGTTATAATTATTACTATTTTATTGTATTCTTCGTCGTAACCAAATTCTCACAGCTTTTCAGAGTTAAAATTCTAAAAAGCCGTTAGAATATTTTTTTTATAAAATAAATGCGGGCCAAAGTTTAGTAGCTATTGTAAAAGCCACAACGGAATTTTATTATTTTATACAATATATATTCTGTCGGGCATAGTTTAGTGGTTTTCCGTTGCCTTCTCCACGGTCTTTGAATGCAAAGTAAACCTTCTCGTAGACTGGCTGCCAGCCAAGGCGAAAGCAAGAAAAACAACCAAAATACCCCTAGATATCGACAACGGATTAAGAATAAAACAATGGAGCGTTTTTAAAGAAAAATAAAAACAAAAAGGACCCATACACAAAATCAAAAAACGACACCTGAAATTTTTAGGACAAATAACGAGGAAAGAGAACTTGGAGAATTTAGTCGGAATTCGAACTCGCTTTGCCGGTTTCTCGTTTCGAGCAGCGAACTGTACACCATCTGCACATCCATTTTAAATTAGTAATAATCGTTTGAAAATAGCTATAACATGAAATCTATAAACAGGAAGTGATTCAAATCGAGCGGAACTTGCTGAAGACATCATTTAAATGAATTACTATAAGAAGCCATTTTGTTATATTTTAAGCTAGGAAATAAACACATGCGGGTAGCGTAACGGATATCGGTGCGTTGAGAGAACTCTTCAAGCCGGGTTTAAATTCCAGACTGGTGTGGTGTTCTCACTTTCGCACAAGTGAAATTACTCCGCCTCTTCTCCCCACCAGCTATGGATTAACTAACAGAATTGACTGGGTTCTTTTAGACTTGGGTATCAACCATTTTAAAGGAAGGAAAACACCGATTTCCAAACGGGAAGTTCACCCATTCAACGTGGAAGCACGGTGGTGTGGATAGCAGCTCAGATTGAGGAATAGGAGAGCCGAGTTCGAATTCCAGTCGAATCCATTGCATTCAGTTACGAGCTAATACCCTTGGGAAAGGTATGAATCCTCTTTTTCTCCCCAGTTCAGATAGATGGCTACTGGTCTACCGCAGAAAGAAATGGCAACCTACTTCGGGAAAAAATCTGCCTCGTCAGTCATGTATCGAAAGATACATGATCGCCTATCGCATGACACATAACTGACTGACTCCACTATTTTTCCCAAGATCGCATGCTATAATAATTAGAAATCTGCGCAGAGACATGATCGCCTCTGTCCTGAAATGATATAGAATTAATATATATATATATATATATATATATATATATATATATATATATATATATATATAGTTGGATTGATGTGAGTTTGTGATCCTGGGTTTCACGCTATTTGTGATCGTCAGACAAGCTCTATCACTGATATTGAGCGCTTTCAATAAGTACGCGCATATATAATATATAAATAATATATATATATATATATATATATACATTTTACATATATATATATATGTGTGTGTGTGTGTGTGTAAATACATATATATATATATATAAATATTAAGTCATTTTTATGTTTATACATTCTTTTTATAGATACAAATATTTAAGTAAATGCACTGTTTATAATAAACAGTATTAATAACATTTACCGGAGGACGAATATTTTCTATGAAAATTTCTCGGACATTCAGGCTGGTAAATGTTGTTAATACTGTTTATTATAAACAGAGCATTTACTTAAATATTTGTATCTATAAAAATAATGTATGAACATAAAAATGTCTTAAAGTAATTGTCGGACTTTGTCCTTTTTATAATATATATATATATATATATATATATATATATATATATATATATATATATATATATATAGTGGACAATGTGGAAACGAACTGTTCATGTACTTCTGAAATATCCACTTCTCTACGGTGTATAAAATGAAAATAATGACTATCTCTCTAATCGCAGATTGATATACCACTGTTTAAAATATTCATACATTTTTCCTTTGTATATTCTTTTTATTTGAATCTAATGTTAGTTCATCTGTTCTTAACCAACTACAAATGTTTTTTTTTGTTTTTTTTAGCAGCTGCTCGGTTCGTATTTAGATATGATCGTCAATTGAAATTAGAATCAACGTCACGACATCATCTCGTATTACTTGTTGAGTATATTAAACTCAGGGTTCACGAAGGGTCGACTCGGATTGATTCCGTTTGGACTCAGTTGACCAGAAATCCGCATGGTGTCAATCTTTGCTGGGTTAGTTCAGTATGCGACCCAGCTGTCGCTAACATTTATTTTCCTATCTTAGCCGAAATGACCCCCATATCATCATCATCATTGTTATAATCATTGTTACTGACACGTTCTTCCCGAGGAGTGGTTAAAGACGAAATTTAATAAAGATTGTGCGCTTACAGGTTATCTTAGCAATCACGATGAGAGCAGGGTAACAAGCTAAGGTGTCCAATGATAGGAAATGAGTTCCAAGATCAAACTTTGTACAAAGTTGGAATTATACGTAAAATTGCGAATATTTTACTCAGATCTAATACAACGTTGAAATGTTTTTCGACAGTTATAATATTGCAGATAAAAAAAAAAAAAAAAAAAAAAAAATTGTGTAACCGTTTATAATGACGTTTTTTTTTCCATTTTACATAATGCTCGTTCGGTTCACCATCTCAGAGTTCTTTAGACTATTTATATATATATTCTATATTGGTCTAATCAGCCAACCCCATGTAAACAAAAGGAACATTTTATTTGTTCCTTACGTTTTAACG